CGTGAACTCAACAGCTAGAAATATATTTATTAATGTAGCTCGAATTTTCCACTTCCAACTGCTTTTCCACGGAGGTTTCATTTCAACAGGAAAAAATCGAAAAACACTCAAAAATTTGATCAAAATTTTTAAATTTTCAAATAACTTGTTAAGCTCCATGACTGGCGACTTCAACGATTAAAGTTCACAATTCCAATGAATCAATTGACCATCCAACTTTTATCTATTTAAATATTCTTCATAAAGAAACTAATCATATTAATGAGTTACCAATCATATGTTTTACTGCTTCTTACTTTCATTTCATTATTAATTTATCTAACAGAAATACATACAACAAGATGTGTAAACGATAAAGACACAAATGTTTCTAATCGATTGCTTTTATTTATTTTTAATTTTGATTTCTAGCAAACATTTATAAGTTATGATATTTATTTTTAAGTGCAATTGACACTTTTGAAGGTGTAAGAAAATTTCATTTTATTTCTTCTAAAATCTTCGAATAAAGCAAGAAATTTCATAAATATTCATGTAAGCCATAAGCACAAAGAAAGTTTTTTCAGTGCATTTAAATCGCGGATTAATTTATCGAAGAATTTATTTCTCATAAAAGTTTGTTACTCCTCAAAAGATTGCAAAAGTGCAATCAATGATCCCGCCGTCTTGACAATGTTATTGAAAGTTTCCAACGTCGCATAGTAAAAACCTCCTTTTATAACGACACTTCTGTGTGATCTCATAATGAAGAGAATGTAGTCTCGGTCAGGAATGTAACATAAATCGGCAGCTGATTCACTTTTACTTTTCAAGAACTCTGAAAAAAGTGAATAAAAGAAAAGCTGCATCATCAACGCGACACCCAGGAAAGTAACAACAATTTTCTGTGCAAAAACATCGGACATGACGAGTTGAAATCCGGAAACGCACAAAGCTAGTGAACCTTCAATGAATTGAATGAAAATGATCGGCGCAAACAATTCTTTAAACTCGTCTGCAATTTTCAAAACTTTTGAGTGATGACTCATAATATTCTTTTTATCTTCTGAATCTACACAATGCTTTATGATGTCAAACTCATCACATAATGCTCGACAGATGTCGAAAAATAATAAATCGAATCCAACCTAATCATTGAGAGAAAGTTAAAATTATTTATTTGAGTAAGTTCGATAAAACTGAAGTAACTTACTGAAGCATAAGAAGTTATAAAGACTGGGTACAGCATGACAACATATAAAATTTCATAATATGGAGAAGCGTACATATCGAATGGATAAATTGCTTTTATTGGCAGATATCGCTCAAAGTCTTGATGTCCCAAGATTTTCATCACTGTTCCATGAATCAATGGAGTGAAACTGAATGTAATTCCAGTTAACCTCAAGAACCTTGAGTATAAAACTTTAAACATATTTAATAAATATTCCATACGAGACATTTTGTTTATCGCGTTATAAGTTTCACTTTTGAAGCTTCGATTCATGCGAAGATTTTCTATGCCGTCCATTAAAGCATAAAATCTATTCTTTTGAAAATAAAATACTGCCAACTTTGCACATAAATTAATTATAATTAAGTTTGGTAAAAACGCTTCCGCTGCATAAGTAATTTCATCTAAACTTCGAATGACGAAAGTCAATCCCGGGATGAAAAAGCAGAAAAATTGAATTATGTTGAATGCCAGCCAAATTTTATGTTTCAGTGAATTTGGACGATGACAACACACAAAACGCAGATGCCACTCTATGTAAGAAAACATTCCCATGGTAATTAATTTTCTTCTTCTTTCACTTTTCCAATTGAAGTATTAAAGAAATACTGAAGATCAAGAATAAAATTTAAATTCTTTTATAGTGGAATTTCATAGTCAATACTTAAAGCCACATAATCATCATTTTGACAGTCGTTTATTTGATAAGTATTAGCCTGCCATTCAAAGGATACCAAGGAAGGAAACGTTCAATTAAAAATGATGTTATATGTTTAATTTATAAACTGCAATTATGCAATTGATGTTGGGAAAAGGTCAATGTTAAGTAGAAAGCTTCAATTCACCCTCGATGTAAGAAATGCCAGGGAAATTATTTTATAGAAGGTTTTTGTAAAATTTCGTAAGTCAAATCATAAAACGCAACATTTATTAACTGATCACAAAATTACTTAATACAATAAAACTTGAATAAATAATAGAAATATTGAAAACTTCAACGAATTTGAATTGCTTCGCTTCTCACGATCTTCGTCGCTGCTAACATCGAAACATGTAGGAAAGTTTTTAGGAGGTGAAGGCATTTCAGAGTAGTCTCCANTGTTCCAAAACTTTCAGAATATCCGTGAAGATTCTGATGACACATTTCGAGATAATTTTTAATTATAATCACAAGAAAGCCGATAAAAAGAAATATCATATTAAAATAAACTCCAAAAGTGTAGTAATTCAGTACTTCCAACATAAATTTCGAGTCTATTTCTTCTTTTGTAGTGTAAGTGTAGAAAATTGTTATCATTATATAAAATATGAACATTCCTGACATAAAAAATGTACAAGTTCGTTTCAAATATGTCTTAAAATTTTTCATCGAAGTTTTACTGAACGGTAGATTTTCCAACTTATCACCAATTGAATCGAGAATCATAAGAAACTCTGTGGAACTTTCACTAGCAGAGAACAAACCACAAATATTTATTACCAGCGCAAACACGACCATGATCTCTTCAACCATGAAGCAAAGCAAAGATATATCAGTTTCGTCTTTTGTTAACTTCAAAAATATATCAATGTAGTATATACTGAAATACGTGAACTCAACCGCTAGAAATATATTTATTAATGTAGCTCGAATTTTCCACTTCCAACTGCTTTTCCACGGAGGTTTCATTTCAACAGGAAAAAATCGAAAAACACTCAAAAATTTTATCAGGAATTTAAAATTTTCAAATAACTGAATTAATTGCATGTCTGTCGACTATAACGATTAAATTTCACTTAACCACTGAGTTGAGTTTACTATCCTAAATTTTCATTTATTGTATTTCCATAAATTGTAAAAATTCAATCAATTAATGAGTTACATGTTCATAAAAACATAAACGTAAAAACAAACAAACAAATTGACACCATCTGGAGGGAGAATTGAAATTAAGAAATTAATGTATGTTGCTTAGCTAGTGCAATTAATAGATTAATTTTACATAGAAATTGACAAGATGGCCACGAAAAAAATTATTCTGGAATTGATTATTCAGAATTTACTAAGGTGAAGTCATGATTAAAAGCATAAAAATATTTAGACTTAGTTTAATATCAAAAAATATTTTCTATATCATTCAGCCTTCAAAATGCATGCGGGTGAGTTCATTTCCTAGAA